GTCCTGATCATCCCATCGTCCCATCCGCCAGGACACCACCGGCGCTTCGGAGCCGGGATAGCCCAGCGGAAGCTTCACCCGCAGAGACGTGCCATGACCGACGTTCACCAACCACTCCCAGTCGCTCAGGGCCTGCGCGGAAAGACAACAGCTCTTTGGAGGTCGAATGGGGTTTCATTCGGATTTCATGGGATTTCATGGTGGTTTAGTGGGATTTCATAGTGATTCAAAGGGATTTAATCAACAAAAAATAGGGATGTTAGTGGATACACCCTCTGGTAAACTAACAGGTCGCGCCGTCTTGGGGCAACTGGTGTTTGCGCCTCTTTGTATCAGCGAGCGTTGCAAGCTTTGGCCAATTGTTTGAGAAACTGCAGTGGTGTCAATGACTTTTTCTCAGTCATTGAATGACACTCCCCGACAAGTTAGTTTCACATGTCTAATCATATATATATATGCATGTATGTATGTATGTATGTATGTATGCATTTAAATGTAAATACATATGTGTATGTATATATAGGGCGGAAGCTGGGGGTTCCCCGGAAGCCAATTGCAATTTAATTTTCATGGATATGGAAAATGTTGATTTTATACAGTGTTTTACAGTGTTTTTTGCCTTCCCTTGAAAGTGTTCCATCAGTGAAAGTATCAATGTCGGCGCGGATAAACTCGGAGTTTGTCCGCGCAGAAAAATGATAAATTTACATCTTCCATGGATGGCCAAAAATGCGTTCAACATTTTTCCCATTGGAATTGCGGTTTCATACATTTTTCAGTTTCTGTTGATAAGTACAAAATGTCATAATCCACTGGAGAACCATGGACGAGATGAACATTACATATGTTTCATCTTCGCTTTCCCAAACCTTTTTTTTGGCATGGCGATGGAAAATGTTGTTTTTACACTGTGTTTTACAGTGTTTTATGTTTTTCTCTGAAATGGTTTGATCAATCGAACTTTCATTTTCATCGCGGAAGAACTTGACGTTTGTCCGTGCTGAAACAGGAAAATTTACATCTCCCATGGATGACTAAAGATGTGTGGAACATGCTAACCATTTGAAGTGCGGTTTCGTTTATTTTGGTCGTTCTGTTCAGTAGTAGAACATGTGATAATGCACTGGAGAACCATGGACGAAATGAAGAACGCACCTTTTTCATCTTCATGTCCACAAAGGCTGTTTGAAGCAGTTGGCAGGAGCGAGAGCACCATTGGTTTTCTCACGGTGCAGTCGCAGGGCGTTGAGGACAGAGTCAAGACCAGGATTCTTATGAATAACTTGAAACGTAGCAACATCTTCCAACCAAGCAACATCTTCCAGGATTCAACATCATCCAACGCACTTCACATGACGTTATTACACCCCCCCCCACCCCCCCCATCTGTATACAAGAACGACCTTTCTGGTATAGCATCAAGACTGAGGGTTCCTCGAAGCTCCGGGGAACCCCCAGCTTTGAGCCTATATATATATATACATGTGATAAGTATATATAGATATATGTACGTAAGTGAGAATTATGTATATATACACTATATACGTATACATATGTAAAAGAAGATATGTACATTTATATGTATACAATTGTGAATACGTGTATATATATATGTATACATATGTTTATGTACATATATATATACATATATATGTATCTAAATTTGAATGTAATTATATATGTATACATATATATATATAACCCAGCCAACCCCGAAGTTCGCGAAGCATGCAAGATGTGAGCAAGTTGACAGGGACGTTAACATCCCCCCCAACCCAAACCCCCAAGTTCACGAAGCATACATGACGTGAGCAAGTTGGCAGGCACGTTAACATCCCCCACCCCCCACCCAAACCCTCAAAAAAAAAGGGGGGTTCGTTACCAGTTGCCTGGGGACGGCGGCTGGGTTCTAACATAACTATGGAGAATCACCATTTTTCATGGGTAAATCAACGAACTAAATTGTCATCAATAGCAAACTGTTAGTTTACCAGAGGGTAACATGCTTGAAGCAGCAAGAATGGAGAAGTTCAGATGGTGCAACAGTTACACCATCCTAATCCCCCGGCTTAGTTATCACAAAAAATGGGAGAACCACTAGATCCACAGAAACTGGGGATTTAGCTAACAATGACGTTTATTCTTCTATCAAACATGGTTTATACCATGCGTTCACCAATAAGAATACGCCTTGAACCGGGACAGTGCAACAGTGCAGTGATAGACATTTTCAGTCAAGATTTGCAGCAACCAACCATCAACTGCGGTCTCCGCTGACCTCAAAGTCCAAACCATAGATGGAATTCAAGGCTTCGTGCTCCTGCAAGGCGCAGAGATGAGAAGTGACTGAGAAGTGCAAGGCTATTGGATCAAATCCAAAAGATCCGAAAGTGTCAAATCAAAAGGTCCATTGTGAGTTGAAAATGTGGTATGAAAGGGACTGCAAGTTTCGGACCTGCACCGTTCAGCCAATTTTCAGGTCCTGTTGCAGCATGGGATTGGCTCCATCTCCTTTTTGTGGGGAGCAACCACCATTGCCCGTTTCGCCAGGGAACATGTTCGAACGCTTCCTCAGTTGGTCAAATCTATTCGAAAGTTTTGAATAGTTTTGATCCATCCCAGGCCCCATATGAAAGTTGGATAAAGTTGGGGACTGCGACGCTGCATTGAAAAACTTCACTTTCAGATGTCTTCCATTCGATCAAAAGACATGCGGTAAAGTCGTGTTTGCATGTCCGCATTGGTGTTCAGTATTTTCCTATCGAAAATTGCCATAAGGTTGGCTTCAAAATGGATGAGAATCTCTATGAATCACTGGATGTCAGTAGGCTCCTCTATCCCAGCTACGGCGGTTGAGACCAGCCACGAAAATGGAAAGTTCACCAGAAATGGCAAGGGTCACTTCCCAGTCCAGAAGTACTGGGCTTAGATTAGATTATTGAAATGATTCACCATGTATAGATGCTTGTCCCATTAAAACATCCATTTCATATCCATCTAAAAATAGGGGGTTTTTCCGTTGCCACGTTTCATGACACCAGAGGGTAAATCATTGGAAGTGGGAATCTTGATTTCCCACGACTTTGAACCAGCTAGCAGTCTTGGGATGAATGTTCCTGCACCATACCCCTACATTGCTATCCTGTACCTTTGCGTAAACACCAGAAAAACATAGATGTGGATGTGGAACTCTGTCCCTTGGTTCGCTCACCCCTCTGATCTCAAGTCTGTTTAGGGTGTAAAATTGTGGGTCGTTTCACCACAGTCCAATGGATTTGTTTCCCCAAGCGCTGTGCCGAGGTTCAGTTCAGGACAATACTTGTGACAAATATCCCACAGTTCTGACCTGTGGCACCGGGTAACCACTGGATTGGATCCAAAACATCTACGGTTCCGTGAGAATGGGCTACCCAGAACCAAAGAAATTGCATCAAAAAGGGTGGTTTCCGATAACTGGCGGTACCCCCCCAGGTTATCATCCATTTGTAGATGTTGATGTTCCATGAACTAACTTATATGGGGGTTTCCTGAAATAGGGGTACCCCCAAATCATCCATTTTAGATTGGGATTTTCCATGAAATAAACCATCCATTTTGGGGTACCCCCATGACTATGGAAACCCCCATATAACTAAACTCAACCATCCAGCTATTGGGGTAGCCTCATAGAAACCGGCTGGGCATGGCACCAGGCAGCTTCCATCTGAACCTCAGGCACTTCGGTGTTGAAAGTCACCACCACCTGTGGAAGGGCGGGGATTTTTTGGGCTGGGGGATCCCCAAGTCACCATAGGTTTCAGTACTAAAGTCACCATAATTTTGGATGATTTGGGGGTACCCCCATTTTAGGAAACCTCCATATGATTTTGGTGGGTTTTTGCTGGGTTTGAACTTATTTTTTTGGGTTAAAGTATGTTAAAGTGATGATTGCTGGGGTGTTCAACTGCGGATTGTTGCTGTTCGAAGGCTAGAGGATTGAAAGGGGAGATCCAATTTAACCCCCGAAAATAATGAAGAGACCTGAGAAAAAACATGTGAAGGATCCTATTGAAAAACCCCTATGGTTGGAGATGTTCCTGAACTACCTCTGGGTTCCATTTTGGTGACTCGGCCACTGGCTGATTCTCTGAAAAAAAGGAAAAGCTGAAGATGAATCCAAATTCAAAGGTGGGAATCGATGGAAGGACTAGCAGGTGATTATCAGGATGGAAATGAAAGCTTCATGTGGTAAGTGTCAAGTGGCCCCACCTCGAGGATCAACAACCAGGCAGAGAGTTTGTGCCTGGCAGCTCGTGAAACCCTTGGATCCTACAAGCGCACGAAATGAGAAAAGCGTCTTCCAAACCTGATCGACCCCGGAAATTCATATAGACCCTGCCAAATCGGAGGTTGGAAACTTATAGGCAGGGTCTATATTTCGCAGGGTCTATGTGAATTTCCACTATCAATCTATAGTATATTAGGTATATTAAACCCCTTACAGTATCCACTATCCATTTCTCTATTTTCAGGCTCTCTCGCCTGAGCGAGAAGGTGTCCAGCTCCTGCTTGAATCGTGAGACATTCTTTGGCGCCAGTGGCAACCTGGCCCCCCGATCACTGACAAAGGTCCATCGGGAAGGGTTGAACGGTTTAACCATCAAGGCCTGGGGTGTCACCATGAAGACAAACTCAGAGTTGACTGAGTTAACTACCAAGAAAATTGCAATAAAACCATCAAGAATTGAAAGTTTCACCAAAATACGAGGATTCTGCCTTCAAAGGGGGATATAACGAATGAACCATAGAGAAATGAACCATCAAGAAATTGTCGTACTTGTATCTGATATATGTTTGAGTGTATAATTATAGAACTGGCTTACCCTCTGGTAAACTAACATAGCTATTGAAAATGGCCCATTTAGTTCGTTGATTTGCCTATTAAAAATGGTGGATCTTTCCATAGTTATGTGGCTGTTTACCAGAGGGTAACCATCAAGCAACAATCATCACCAATATTTATGGGTCAAATTCTCAGATCGAATGAGGGAATTTTCTGAGCTTCTGAATGTCCCCCGGTCCATTCTCCGCATGATTTGCTAATTGGCCATATCCCCATAGAATCTGCATAGATAGATTCACAAGATATTTCCTGGTTGGTGGTTTCAACCCCTCTGAAACATATTAGTTGGGATTATTATTCCTGATGTGTGGAAAAAATAAAAAATGTTCCAAACCACCAACCAGTTTCTCGTTGGATGGAAATCCAAACCCCTCAATACTAGCACAAATTAGTCCTAAATAGTACCCATATGCGTTTGTCTGAAAATTGGGTCCACGATAAATGCATAGTAACATAGTAAAAATGCATGCTTTATCATTGTGTTCCATGAAAATTGCCATGTATTGATGGCAAATCTCCACTCTTTTTGACAAAACCATTGCGTTTCCCATGCTGGTTGCCCCCATTGCTGTATCCCCATGATATCCGGCGAAATCCTCATTTTGGCTGGTTAAATCCATAGAGTCTTCCATTTCTTGATGGTTTCATATATCCCGATATGTCTAATGATTATGTCCCTGTTCTGTCATGCAACCCTGATTTTCTGATCAATTCCCATGACTGGTTGCTGGTGGTCCCAGATATCCTGAAGATATCTTCATTTTTGGTGGCTAATATCTCCACATATCATCCATTTTAGATTGGGATTTTCCATGAAATAAACCATCCAGCGTTCTGGGGGTACCCCCATTCACACCAGGAAACCCCCATATCACCCTATATTCCTCAAATTTTCCTCATATCTCTACCATTTTTCCCAAGGGGCCCCCTGGAAGGTGGCACCTGATTCGGCACTCCTTGGTGGTGCTCACAGGTCGCAGCAAACACACCGTGGCACGCTGCGAGCTGTTGCCCAAAACCTCTGCGACAGGGCATGGGGGGGTAGGACCAACTTTAAACCATGGAAAGAAATATGATGTTAGAAAAAAAACACATTATAACTTAAGCATTGAAAACTTGGATCGTTGATGATTTTCACCAGGCTTTAACCATCAAAATTTGGATTTAACGTGATTTAATCGCGTTTTAGTCATCAAAACGGGTACTTAACATTATTTAATCATCAAGAAACTACATGACTAGATATGGGGATTGGCCATGCCACCCTTTAGGACCATCGCGTGATGCGGGGATGCACAGTTGATGTGCACTACAGTGTACAAAGTGTTCAAACTACGCCCATGCAGGGGGTAGTGTGGTGAACCCAGACCATGAAGCATACCCGGCATACCCAATGACTTACCGCCTTGGGTTACAATCAACTACACAAACTATCGAGTCTTTTTATGGGGCCTTTACCATATTCGACCCCCCCTACACACCAGGATATCCCATGCATTATTATATCAATAATGATATCCCCATGGGCAACCCAGTACCACAAAACCTACCATGACTGGGGATGGCTGGGAAACCACCCATGTGTGGTTGTTTTGGGGATGGTTATTGAGTTTACCACATTATACAATACATATGTATGTTACTAGATGATAATGGATGATATGGTTGATATAGCAAAACAATATGACAATATATCCCATGTTAAATATCACATGAATAGCATCCCCATTGTAGATAATAGATGCGATTAATACCGGTATGGGTTTACCACTATGTTCCCATTAGTGATATGTCCCATTGTCTATCATGGAGTGTACCACATTAATATAATATCCCATAATGACAATATACCCTCATAGTCTGACAGTTAATGACAATAGTATGATATATGATATATTCCCTTAATAATATATGCCCATTATCGATGAAGCCGCATGAGATGTTTCAACGCTTAGCTTGCTTAGCTTCCCAACCCATGCACTCCGAAGGCATTGCTCCAGAGACAAACGGTCTTCAGGCCTGGACGTCACAGAGGTGTCGTCATTTTTTCCATAAATTGTGATCCCCAATAGCAAACCATAAATAGTGGATATATGGGGGGTTCCTAAAATAGGGGTGCCCCTAAATCATCCATCTTTATAAGATGTTCCATTATAAACCATCCATTTTGGGTACCCCCATTTATGGAAACCCCCATATGATGATATATGTGGATATTACAATCCATAGCAATCCATTAAAAATTAAATGATAATCCATTGACTCAATGGAGAATGCTAATTCTTACATCTACATGATCAATACGATGTCTTTTCCAATGAATAAATGGAGCCTTACATGATTAATGTGAATATACTAATATACTGCTAACGGGATTGAATGGGAGTACCATGGAATTTCGGGAAGAATATAATGGGAATAAAATGGGATTATATGTTGAAACCAACCATAATTACTAAGGTTTCACGGTTTCCACAGGTTGGCTTATGGGGTTCTTACAGGAAACCACTGCTTTTCGCATGATCCAATTCCAGTAAATGCAACGTGTAGTGTAGTTTATCCATGTTTATCCCATTTAAGGGGTATCTCTGATTCCTTCGGTATATGAATCAAATATTGGTGGTACATGGTTGTTTCAGTGCAAATATTGTGGGTGAAAACTATCCCGAATGAACCAGGTAGGTTCATAACCCACCATTATACCCAACATCACCCAACCAACCACAGGAAAATGCCCATGCCTTCGCTTAATGAGCCCCGCAATCAACTCTTCTGCTCGACCGCTGCCGCGGAATTTGAAGCTTCCTGTAACGGCGGAAATGGCTAAAATAGTAGATACACCTCATAGAAGCTCCAGAGGAAAACCATCATTTTCCCCGGAAAAATGTCCATATTTCCAGGGCCATAGCTGGCTAGAATTCCTCTACATATATCACCTTTTGGAGGAAGATTAGCCATGTTTTTTTTCATAGTTTTTTACACCAAAAAATGATGAGTTTGACACCTCCAAGAGGGGGTTCTATGTCTATGGATCCTGAATGGGGATCCAACCATGGGGGGCTATGATAAAGCATCCCAAATGGGCCTATACCCAATAATAAACCCAAATTGGGGGTGGTGTCTTATTGAGTTTAGCACATTATCCATCACAACCGCGGTACCCTAGGATCTTAATCCTTCTGAGGTGGAAAAAAATGATTTTGACCCATCCAGCATCTAGTCATTTGCCAAGTTTGGATGATTTCAATAATGCTGAATCCCCATTTTCTATGATTCAAAACCATCCAAAATATCCGAAATCCTCCAACAAATCACTGAATCACATCACATCTTCACCTTTCACACCAATGCCGCTCCTTGACGATAGGCAGCATCTTCAGAACTGCGGAAGGGATAGTGGCCCGTGAGCATCACCTCGGAAAGGGAAAACCCACCTGGAAAACCATAGGGAAAAGGATAGGAAACTCTGGAAAACCATCTTGAAAATTTGTTTCGGGTTGGGCACTGTTGTCAAAAGAAAAAACTTGTTGTCGTTTTGACCCCATGCGTACTGATAAACAAGCATGGTTGACAATGGTAACTAGTCACTCTCAGGTAGGAATTGGATCATCCATTATCTGGTTTTTAAAAAAAAACATGAACCATAACTGGTTGGTGGTATAACCCATCTGAAAAATATGAGTTCGTCAGTTGGGATTATGAATTCCCAGTATATGGAAAAATAAAAGCCATGTTCCAAAGCACCAACCAGAAAATCCATGAACATCAGATTACCAACCAACAATTTCAAAACCTACCAACATGAACCATAAACATCCATAAACATCAACTGCACTCTGAATCTGCAAACTTCCTCAGCCAAGGCGCATAGAGCACCACTCCCAAACTCCATAGATCCGCCCGCCTTGGAATGGACGATACGTTCGATGATTTTTTGCCATTGGAAGCTCCAAAAAAAAGGGGGTGGATTTCTCCCATGGATTTTCCCATGGAAATGTTGCGACGTCCCATTGAGTTGGATGGATGTTCCCATCAAAACCGTTCGACGCTACAAGACTGTCTCAGACGGCACGCTGTGCCCATGATTCTCATCGGAAAATCTGTCTGTTCAGATGATCTTCCCAGTAAAACCAGGAAAGGTGTTAAAAAAAAAAAACTCCATTCTGGAAAGATGTGACATCTTGAAATATTGTTGGCAGTTTTCATGGTTCCTTTGACCCCATCTTTCCCATAGCTCTGGGTGCTGTAAAAAGGTGACCCCTCGATGATCCCAACATCCCAACTGTTCGATATTCGCTCCACTCAATGTTTCAACCATCATTACTACGAGCGGTCTCCCAGTCTTCGCAAATTACGAACACGTATTTAAAAACAATATATATATATACATAATATATGTATATATCCGTAGTGTGTATATATATACTGTATATATATATACAATATATATATACAATATATATATATACATAATGTATATATATATATACATTATATATATACAATATATATATATATACATAATGTATATATATACATAATATATACATAATATGTATAGATATATATATATATATACAGTTATATACATAATATATGTATATTTTTGGGGGGGGGCATCAGCCATCATGACTTGGCCGTGGAACTCATCGTAGCTGCGGCTGCTGTTCGCCACCTCTGGCGCGAGATACTGCGGAGTGCCTGGCCGCGACATCACGAGGTGTTTCTTGGGATGTCTTGGTTTGTCTTGGGGGGGATTCACCAGCTAAACAAAGTGATTTAACCATCTGTAGTTATATAGGAACCAACTCTAACCATTATTGAGACAATGGGCATATAAATCCCTGCCTAACAAGAAAGAAGTATGTTTAACCATTGGACCATCTGTAGCAATCAAAAAATAAATAGAAAAGTAAAATCCTATTAAAATGGAGGGGAATGTGTGTTCTATGGTTTTGGGTGGTACTATATAGTTGGCCAAGTATAGGTGGAAGCAACTATATCTATTGTTGAAACAATGGGCAGATAAATCCCTATTGATGGAGAATCACTGGCTATACTGTATATGCAAACTTGGTTCCAGCCCCAGTGAATGAGGTGTCTGGACATAGAGGATTAAGCCCAATGATGATAAACCAGTGGATGGAATGGCACAATGGGGTACCCTATTTTCAGACAAGCCCATATGGCTCTTCACCCATACTCATTTTCATCTCCACTTTACCATACCACTTCCTTCTCCCAGCAACCCCAGTGAGCTGCTAACTTCGCCAACTTCGGGCCGGGCCTACATGTGAGCGCGCATAGGTGTAGCCATCCCGGACCAGCTTGGAGTGCCCAAAGTCCGAAAGCTTCACTTCGATGGGTTTGGACTTTGGGCATTCCAGTCTCCTGGACGGATGGGGGAGCTGGTTGTGAAGAATGAGGGGGGTATCCCTCTATTCACTACAGACAGTATGTCGATAACAAGCAGCAACATCTTCCAATATCACGTAACAGACGGGGCCAGTAGTAGTATAAACCCCAGATATCAAGGGCTTGCTCGCTATGGTTTGTGACCATTTCCTATCTTGCCAAGTGAATCTGGGCTTGCTCAACATGGGCTAAGTGGAAATCGGTTGCCTCTCTTAAGGGTCAATCTCGCTTACAGTACCCCTGTTGCAATAGTGGCTCTCCGTGCATATTTTTGTTATATACCCCTTCTGAACCCCTTCGTACGCTTTCCAACTAGCAATCGGACCCGCTATGTGTAGGGAACGACGCTTCACGTGGGTATGGGTCAAAATATTTAAGACCCAGAAACCACAGATGAAACCACCCATGCTTGTGGGTTGAATCCGTGATCTTTGGTGCTGAAATCCAAAGGTAACATGTGTAATTCCCTATATTTTCGGGTTACCCTTCCTCCAACTAATATCGACCTGCCGATCTTGGGATGGCTGATTCTCAGGGTCTATGTTGGAGGATAGTTGTCACGACCCATCCAAGACCTGCCCAGATATTTGTTGTTGGTTACAGATATACCATAACATGACATCCCCATATATTGTAAATATATTTAATGACCATTTCACGAACCTAAATTGGCGGTACCTACCATGTATAAGGCTTATATAAGGCATATGTAAGGAAATATCCCCACAAAGTATGGTCTTATATGGTACTAACGTACCTCCATTTTAGCATCCTGAAATTCCCATAGATATATATATATATATACATAATATATATATGTACATATATATATATACATATATACATATATATATACATATATGTATATATATATATGTGGGTTTATCTGAATACGGTTAAATTTGATGGTTGACCATGGCCTTTCCATTAAAATGTCAATAAATTCGGGGGTTGTTTCTCCATTAATGGACACGCCCAAATCATAGAAACATGATCAAATATGGTTGAATTCAACTATACCACCATTTTATCCCCTGCATATGTATATATATATATATATATATATGTATGTATATATATATATATATATGGTTGTTTATATTTATATAATATATATATAACATACACGATCCAACTTTATTCTTGGTTTTACACCCATTTCCCGGCATCCGATTTTTTTTCCTTCTCGGTGTTTCGCGCCTGGAATTCCGGGCATTCGTGGTCTCAGGTTCAGCCAAGAGGATGTTCTGAGGCTTCCTCAAAGGAGCGGGGCTGAAGGAAGGATCCTTGCGTATGGCCCATTTTTGTGGAGGATTTACCATGATTTACCGTGCTTTTTGGCTATTAAAGATGGTGATGTTCCATATCTTCAGTAGGGCCATTGGGTCATCAAAAATTAGGGAGTCACCCATAGAAAATGAGGACAATATTTAGTGTCATTATTGTAGTATAAACACTGGGTTGACAACTGCCTGGCTTGGGTATGTTTGGGCGGTCAGGACCCATTTTAATAGCTATCATTTTTTTCGGGTGACCGCAACACATGTGGGTGGTTTGACCATGGTCATGGCTATCAAAATGGGTTGCTGCTCAAAAATCTAACCAACCCAGGGGATTCCAGTGTTCTTCATCTCCTATGTAAAGCCCCTTGGGTGATGGGTGCGGGTTCCTTTGCTTTTTTTTGCTTTTTGAGTGGATATCCTCCAGTGAATTGACATATGGAAACCCACCATTTATAGCTGATTCTCCTTGAAACATGATCTAGTGGGAGGTAACTCGTTTAAATGACAGTGGACTGTGTCATTACAACAAGGATCATCAGGAACGAAAGGAAGCGCGTCTTCACAGAATCGACGAACATTGAGCAATGAACTACTGTCAACGCGGGATTGATAAACTTTGTTGAAAATAGGGACTCCTCCAAAAATACAGATGAACTACTACAGAAACTCTAGAGAAATTGTGAAATTGGTACCCCCACCATTTTTGGTCGCTGGGGCTAATTCTGATATCAAGCCGAAGAAAAGCTAAGATGAACAATTCATGATAGCCTACTGTGGCCTCCATCCACACGAGGGGCGGACGGAAAGCCAGTCAAACTTCCAAAAATCCGCAGGATTTGAAAGTTTTGGGAAGACCCCGTTCCATCCCATGATTCTTTATCTGGTTGGCGGTTTCAACCCCTTTGAAAAATATTAGTCAGTTGGGATGGTTATTCCCAATATATGGAAAAAAATTGTTCCAAACCACCAACCAGTTATTGCTTGATCTTCTACCATTTGTTCCGAAAGATACATCTGCCAGTAGCTTGGCTCCTACAGTCCAACCATCAATTTACCCTCTGGTTATGTCAAAATAGCTATTGAAAATGGCCATAGAAATAGTGGATTTGCCCATTGAAAATGGTGATTTTCCGTAGTTATGTGGCTGTTTACCAGAGGGTATGTCTTGCCATTGTTTAGTCTTAGCTTCCCCTACTGACATCCATTCCTAGCAAATTGCAGTGATTTTCCCCAAAAAAGTTGTGGCTGTTTACCAGAAAATGGCCATAGAAATAGTGGATTTACCCATTGAAAATGGTGATTTTCCGTAGTTATGTGGCTGTTTACCAGAGGGTATATCTTGCCATTGTTTAGTCTTAGCTTCCCCTACTGACATCCATTCCTAGCAAATTGCAGTGATTTTCCCCAAAAAAGTTGTGGCTGTTTACCAGAAAATGGCCATAGAAATAGTGGATTTACCCATTGAAAATGGTGATTTTCCGTAGTTATGTGGCTGTTTACCAGAGGGTATATCTTGCCATTGTTTAGTCTTAGCTTCCCCTACTGACATCCATTCCTAGCAAATTGCAGTGATTTTCCCCAAAAAAGTTGTGGCTGTTTACCAGAAAATGGCCATAGAAATAGTGGATTTACCCATTGAAAATGGTGATTTTCCGTAGTTATGTGGCTGTTTACCAGAGGGTATATCTTGCCATTGTTTAGTCTTAGCTTCCCCTACTGACATCCATTCCTAGCAAATTGCAGTGATTTTCCCCAAAAAAGTTGTGGCTGTTTACCAGAAAATGGCCATAGAAATAGTGGATTTACCCATTGAAAATGGCGATTTTCCATAGTTATGTGGCTGTTTACCAGAGGGTAACCATCAGTTTTTCATCGTTTTTCCCCAAGCTTCAGGTCTCGATGCACGATGTTCTTGGAGTGGATGTGCATCCTCGGATGACATGGCCGCCATCAGGACGCCACCAATTTTTCCGTGCTCCAATCAGTATCAACGGAGAAGTGTTAAAAAAGGTGGGCGATGCATCATGATTCATTGATTTAGTGATTACCAATGAATCATGAAATTGAGTTATTGTTGATTGGAAAGTCAACTGATAAATTATCAATGATAACTGATTATTGATGATCAATTATTGATTAATAGTTCACGATTATTGAATATTGACTGGAAGGCAAACCAGTCGATACCACTTGATGCCTGGCAAGACATCACCCGGTCCCATCTCCTGGTTCCCGGTTGCATCCAAGGGTCAACCCATCCACAATCTGCAAGAAGACGTGGCAAGCCTCTTCATCATCCATATGACCTCAGAGAAGGTACCAAACCTGGGAAAATATCATGGACCAACGGGTCAAAAAATATGGTACTTTGATGGTACCGCAAAATAGTGTTTATTCCCAAATATGGTAATAACAGATTTTGACCCATCCTCATATCACGAAATGTCTATGAGTCTATACACATACCCCTGTCAGAAGCATGTCAACGGCCAAGCAACCATTGGGCTTTCTCTGAAGGTACTCGCTCAAGTCGCCTGACAAAGGTCTCAGTTTGCGATGTTTTGAGATATTCTCGAAAGAGGGAGAGAGAGACATGTCTACATGTGTATGTATATATATATGTGTATATATATATATATATCCATATGTTTATAATAATATCCATATGTTTATATAATATATATATATATGTATTGTACATGTTGGGTTTTTTGCGTTTTTGCCACCATGCATGTGCGGGCAATTCAAAGCTATGGTCACGGCTTTGTCGACCTCGCCTCCACGAATCAGTTCCATGACCAGGAAAATGGTGTGCTCCGCCCTGGACCAGTCACTCGCCGGTCGAATCTGTTATGATAGGTGACTAGATATCATGTTATTATAATGAGGATGTATATATATATATATAAGTCATCTATCATAATTACTAGATAAGTCTAATTAGATAATCGTTATCATGATATATAAGCTAATAATCTATAACTATCATTTAGTTACCTATCATAACTTAATATATATATATTATGATAAATCATTGCAAAAAATATGATTTAAAAAACCATCTACGAATTATCGCTCATAAATGTTGATTTAATCACTCTAATATATAGATTAGTAAACGATTTTATTTGATTATAAATGGATCTACAGTTGACTGAAAAGTTCATGAGAGTAAATTGACTACGTGACGTGGTGATTATGATATAATCTATCCCAAGTTACAGATTCACGTTTATAAATCTCCCATTTATTAACTCTTGAATCTCTAGCGATAAGCGATATTACATAAGTCTAGTCTATGCCAGTTGTATCACAACTGGCAAAAATTTTAGACCAGATCTCACATGCCCCGTGACTTAACTGTTATATTTATCTATATTTGGGTTGCTTGTGTTATACCGGTATACCCGTAAAAAAACAACAGAAAAGGAGGCAGAACCGCATCTGCATCCAAGAGGCTCTTGGAAGTCAATGAGTTTCACGATGTTCCTGGCACAATGGTAGGGTGTCACAAGTTGTTTGAAACGCCCGACGCGTTTCGTAGTGTGGAAAAGGTCAAAATTTGGGAATCCAATGACTAATCATTGAGTGCCAACGAACGACTGGCTCTCAAATCTTGATCCAATTTCACGTTGGCATGCTGGTGACACAAAGCGTTTATGTACAAACAATGCCAAATAATCGGTCGAATTGGGGGATGGTTCGTTTCTTAAGCCTTGAACTTCGAAATGCCTTTGTTTCAAAACACGTCCATCTCTACTCTGGTCATGTCTTTGAAAAAGAGCATCGGAAGTATCGGAAGCTAAATCCTCTCATCTCCCCCAGGTTCAACCATCAGAAAATTATCATCTGATCAACATCCTCAATCCGCAATATCCCCAATATCCGCAATATCCTCAATATCCACAATCCAAACCATCAGCATGTTCAACATGGTTAAACCAATGTTAACCCCCCCACAACAACTATAGCTACTGTCAACAACTGGAAACCTACACAGCCTGCATTGCCCTTGCGCTGCAACCCCGCGCCTATGTGAGAGCATCAGCAGCAGGGACATCTCGCGCATGATGTGATGCCGCAGCTTGTCATAGGCTGGATGCAAACAGAAGCGATGCAGGTCAATGACCTTCACAGCCTGAAGTGTCGCGTGGAACGGAGGATATATATATATACAGGTATATGTATGTACACACATGCATGTATAAATATATATATAAATAGATGTATAAATGTACAGACCTGTATTTATGTAAATATTTAAACTCCAGTTCGAGAAAATGTGTAAAAATTCTGCAGTCCTTTCAACAGACGGATCTGCCAAGCGGCAAACTCTTCATCTCCGCGCTTGCACCGATACACCGAGGCAGTGGCTCCCTGCGGAAAAAAAACGACCCAGTTTGGGGATCAAAGAACAACAAAAATAGAGAAGTCATTTAAGCCACCATCTTTCAGTAGGATTCCACTGAACTCAATGTGTTCTTATCTTCTTGGAGGTTGCTATATGATCAAAAAAATCCGTTGAATGCATGATATATCCTCATGAAAAATCATGGACTTCCCATTTGCATTCTGTAGGTGTCTTTTTTCCACACATGAATCATAGAGATACAGAGGCATCTTCTGTCTGACTCCCTTGTTTGGTCGAATCGATCTTTTTGTTCCTCAAATGGGAGGCAAGAACATCATCCCTGATCTTACTGGTGCTAAACGTAATGGAGGAATGATCCACAATGACTATTAATAGTCATCACATCCCCCCATTTCCAGTCCGTTTAGCACCAGTGTTTCATCCCAATCTCCCAATCTCTGGGCACGGCCTGTCCCTCTGAAGACTGGCCTGGCCCAACTTTTCTTGCATCACATAGGGCATCGTGTCAGGACCAAAGGTCTCTCGACTCTTCGCCTCAACACAGGAACCAGGGAACCAGTGGGGAGATATATATTAATATATATATATAGATGACCAGCCAAAACAAGGATGCCAACCAATAAAACACGTGCATAGTTACCTTATCTGTCCTGTGATTTATTGGATTCTTTCTGGTTGGAACCAAAAAGGTTGTCCTTCAGACCATGGTTTTGTCCTGGAGATTGGCCAAGACTGTTTTGGGTACCCTCAGGTAATCCAATATGACCATGGAAATTCAGCAGTGGGGATACGAAGATTTTGAAATCATGTAACAATTGGGAAATTCTATTGCTATGTGTGTTTAACAGCGGATATTCAGTGATTTCCGAACGAACCCATCGAAAACAAGGAAAACTGAGCCAAAAACTGTCTATCAGAAATTCAGACCTGAAATTCTAAGTACAGGTCATACTTAGCAACCGACTTTCAGAAGACCACAGCTGACCCATCTCCATCTGCTGTACCGCTCTGGCTATCATTGAATCCCCCATCGTTCGTTGTCAACTTCTCCATACTTATGGTCAAACTACCCGACAAATCGCTTCAGTTTGCCGGGTTCAATCCCGTTCTTGGCGCTTTGAAAACATCTTCCTCCGTTGCCAAAAACCGCTTTTTGTTGGTGAAACCGCCCTCCGGTGTTGTGCTGAGCAGTCCGGGCCATCCTCTAGGGGGGTTCTGAAATGGGATGAGTTGTCATAGACCCTGACTTTATGGTTGATCATTGGGGCGATTTATGGAATATCCCCATTGTAAGCCCAAAAAACAGCCCCTGAAAATCCCGATTCTCTCCTCATTATAAGCCCATTATAGTTGGTATAACCCAACTCTCTGGGTAAGTTGTGATATTTCACTTGTCTGAAATAGAGCCATTTGGGGATGATTCCCCTTACTAACCATGTTTCCAGTGAGGTCACAGTGAGGTCACAGTGAGGCTACTATAATTTACCCAGATATTACTATAGCTACCCAATATATAATATCATATTATATATATATATGTATATATATATATGTATATATATATATATGTATATATATAATCCCAAAAAACCGTATGTTTTACACTATTTACCATTGAAAAAACAATCATTCATCAGACCACAAGAAACTTCCGCTCAGCTCCCATCCCAGTTACAGCTGGCAGCAGAGGACTCATCTCCCTGGGCTGGCAAGCCTCAGAGCTATTTGAAGTTGAGGGTTGGCTTAAGAATGGTTCAGAAAGTTGTTAAGAATGGTAAAGAATGGTAAAGAATGGTAAATAGTAGTTGGTTAAGAAAGTGGTTTTTCGGATGGAAAAGAGATTGGTATTCATAGTCGTTGAAAAGTCCGTTGATCTGGACTTGTGTGAGAAAATCGGTGGTATCCCCCACGGTCATCCCGTGCTGAAGATCATTCTGTCCTAGCCATAAATTGCTGCGTGAATTCCCCACCCGCATCTTGTTGCTTGTTTACCTCACTGTTACCCTCTGGTTATTTAACATAGCCATGGTATAGATGGCCCATTTATAGATGGTTCACCTATTAAAAATGGTGATTTTCCATGGCTATGTTAAATAACCAGATGGTACATCCCAGCGATCCGACACTTGAAGGTCTATGGCATTTCATGGTATTTAATGGTATGTCATGGTCAATTCACTTCAAAACCTGCACGACATCATGAACAACTTTGAGATATTGATGCAGGTATAGTGGTAACTATGTTGGCTAACTATCATATCATATCATATCATATCATATCATGTCATGTCATGTCATATCATATCGTATCATATCATATCATATCATATCATTATATAATATGATTGGATAGAATAGTATATCATGATTTTCATGTTGTGTTTCTTCATAGGACAAAATCACCAGAGACATGGCATGGCAGCTTCCGCCAAGTGACTTCAGCTAAGCTCTCACGCTCATCCCCGGAGAGTCCCAGGTGTTCCGCAAAGTCCTGGCAGATTTGGGATGCGCGCCATGGGTTGTTGATGGTGAATGGTTAATGGATTAAAGATATTAATGGCATATAACCACAACAACCACAACCCATTAAGATGGTGACATGGGTTTTCATAGATGGCTAATGTTATATATCATCTTAGATGGTGAATGGATGGTTAATGGTTATGCTTAATAGATGATTAATGGTTATATGTGATGGTTAATAGATGGTGAATGGTTTTCATAGATGGTTAGATGTTTTTTCACGGATGGTTAATGCTTCTGGATGGGATTACTATTTACCACTATTAAGCATATTTTTTTTGGATGGTGTCCCTCTTATTCTCTTATTGATGTGTTCAACAATGATTTTCCGAGCGATATTTCAGCTGGAAAAATAGACTGTCCTCCCAGTTCTCCCTGATCTCGTCCATCTCGGCTGCACCCATCTCTTGACACCACTCCTTCGCCTGACGCCGAAAGTTCTCCCCTCAACTTTCTTGTTAGATTCCTGTATGTACATATAATACGTGCCTTTGTGTGTGTGTGAATATGTATGTGTATATATATATAGAGAGAGAGAGGGGGGATATAGATGGGAGTGTATGTATCTAGATAGATAGATTAGATTAGATTAGATTAAGATTAAGATTAAGATTTAGATTTAGTTTTAGCTTTAGATTTAGATTAGATTAGATAGATGCCTTAGATAAATCCATGGTTTTCTCTCTATCTCTCCATCCCCCGCCCTGGCGCCTCTTCCAGATAGTGTCCCAGTTGCAACAGCTCCAACCAGGGCCCCAAACAGCGCAGCAGGTCCTCTTGATCCTCACAGTAGGTTATTAATATGGTTAATCCAAATATATATATACCGTGTATATATACCATATATATATATACACCATATATATATACACCATATATATATATACCATATATGTATATATGTTTATATATATACCATATATATATATATACCATATATATATACCATATATATACCATATATGTATATATGTTTATATATATACACCATATATATGTATATTTATATACCATATATGTATATATGTTTGTATATATACCATATATATACCATATATGTATATATGTTTATGTATATATATAACCATATATGTTTATGTATATATATAACCATATGTATATATATATATATATATCCCATATGTATATAAATACCATCCCCAAAATCATGGAAGATAATAAAGGTGTATATCATTTATTCGATTATCTAGAGCATCCCCAATTGTTGTTATGGTATTATTATGATATATTATCATGTGTGTTACCAATATACGTATATCACCAGAATGGTACGATATTCCCACAATGCTATGATAATTATAGTTCGTTATTGTTTGTATGATCATCTACTATGAAATGCTTTGATAACTGGCAGTGATAATTAACGATCTATATCAAAAATCGTATGATAACTATAATAATAGTAATTAATATCATATAGAGACATACACATATACCGGAAAACAAAGAATATGATACACCCAATCATGTTTGAACCCTACAAGCTGCTCTGAAATAGCCCATGAATCTCTCCCGCTGACAATACACACCTCCCAGGAAAAAATGGAAGGTGGTTGATCTGAATCCGTTCATTTTTGGGTCCCACATCGTGGAGCTTTTCCATTGGGTCAGGTTTTTAACCTCTGGCCTCCGGACAACCTGGCACTGGAAAATCCCCCAAAAAATGAGTTCAACCTCCCATTACCTAATGAGTCTCTCCTTTACCCGAAAAACATTGCTGGGAAATCATACAACTACGATATTTGCATTGTTAAATCCCACAAAACAAGAAGTGGATAAGAAATGGTACATCTCCTCCCAAAAGACTTCTATGTTTTGGTGGTGTGTTGATCCTCTAAAGTGTCCAGTTTTGGTAGGATAAAGAAAATCCAATCCCAAGATATCTTAAAATCGAAGCTAAGGCTGTAAACCATCCCCATGTGATTGTGAACTGTGGTCTATCTGAAAACATCAAACATGATAAAATGACAGTCCCCAAAGTCAGTTGCCTTTTTTCATTTACCTACGCCAGTACAATACATTTCCATACATTTCCCACACCCCTGGAGATGATGACCCTGGGCCTCAACACTTTGACCCTAAGGAAATCGCCCATTTTTAGAGTGTAACCACCATGGCCGCAGGGGCAACTCTCCGCCTCCACCATCTCGAAGCCATTGACCGCCTCCGGCACGCCGTTGGAGGTCGCCGTGCCGTTGGCCGAGGAACCGCTGCTTTGGGCCTTCTGGAGCCTTGAAAGCCGGTGCAGTTTATAACGAAGGCCACGGGAAAAAGGGGGAGAGGTCAAATGCAGCATGTTGGGGGCAAAACAAAAAGTTAAAATGTTGGAGTATATATATATATATACATCACTAGAAAAACATCCTAGTGTAAGTTAACCCTCTGGGAGATTTACCCATGTTTTTCTCGCCATTATTGTGATAAGGTGGGATCCCCTCCCGGTTGATAACCAGGGGATCCAAGAACTTGAGGATAAGATATGTATATCAGTTTGATGACGGGGTTGCCATCAATAGGGAAACCATGCTTTTTTACGGAGGGTTACCATCAATAGGAATAGGTATTTTTCTATGTTACGTTACCATCAATATATGTTTATCCAAATTTAAAGTATGCTTTGATCCATGCCCATTTACTAGATCAATTCTGAACCATCCACAACTCGAGAAAGCACATAGAATGAACCTTCCAGTGCACTCATGTGGATGCGGATGTCACCATGGGATGCCACAAAGATTTGGAAAATTGAACTCGTAGAAATGATGCGTTCACAAAATATTTAAGTATACATATAGATACATACAGATCTAGTTAACCTATTTTACATTTGTGTACATTTACACGTACCTCTATATATATATATGCATACAAATATGACTCTATGTATATATATATATGTATATATATATACAAATATGACTCTATATATATATGTGTGTGTGTGCTTTTGCTTCGTGCAACTCCACAACAATGGAACACGCAGGAAGACAGCCCCACTGAACTCCGGTCAAGGTCATGGCGTCTCTCGAGACGCTTCCGGGGACCAACAGGAAGTGCTGGTCTCCTACACGGTGCTCCACAATGCCAGATCTTGGCGCTGTGAAAAAACTGGGCTACCCAGTTTGGTACCCCCAAATCCCATGGTAAAATTCATCATTTCCCTATGAAAAATCGAAAGAATTGGGCATTCCCTTCATAAACTTGCAAAAACACACCCAGATCTGGGGATTGGATCAAGGCACTTGGGAATTGCACCAGCCCAAATGCTTTGGCTTGTTTCTGGGCGCCTTGTGGACTCGGCAAATTCTTGTTCCCAGCTGCCGGGGGAGGATTCATATTCATACTGGAAAAGTCCCCAAAGCCAGATTGATTTGCTGATTTGAAAACTTGAAGCACCACTTTTTAAGACCGGAAAGAACAAAATCCCAGCCTGATCAGGCACGTGATAGCCAACTCCATGACACTTCTTGTCACAGAAGAAGCATCGAAAGTTGACACCTCTCATGAGGAGGAATCTCATGGCAAAATTCCCCAACACCCCAATATTTGAAGGTTTATGAACTCCCAAATGGTAAAATTGGAAATATAATGAAATATATAGCTGATCGAAAGATGGAAGAGTAGAAACCTACTGAAACAGGATGCTGAAGTAAACCGGCTCTATAACGGTCCATGGGTCTGGCTCAAACTCATTGACCAATCATGAAAAAGAACTTTTAAGTATGGGTCAGCAGGTCCATGTTTACTATTAACTCGTATATAAATGGTCAACATTCATGGTTAATGTTAAGTACAGTATATAGATATATATATATATAGATTACATAACTATCAGAATTTGGGGGGTGTCCAATACTGACCCATACCCAATGGATGGCTTAGTACAGTAAAATGCTATATTCATGGCCCCAAGTTGATGAAAACACCATTCCGCACTCGTGTTGCTCATCCCTGTGTTTGTCATTGGTGATACCCTCTGGCTATTTGTTACATAGTCATGGTATAGATGGCCCATAGAAATAGATGGTTTACCGAACTGAAAAAAGGGTGGATCTTTCCATGGCTATGTTAAATAACCAGATGGTATATTGTCATGTTCAGCTCATGTTGATCCATTTTCAACGGGAAGGAGTGAAAAATGAAGGCCTGCAGTCAGGGGAACCAATATCAGCCACTAAATCATTTGATTTGCCTAATATTGGTGTAACCAATATTCACCATTTATATGCACCATTTATATATATATAATATATATATATATTAACCATCTCAACCATCGATGTATGGGGAGCACCGATCTTGACCCCAATGCCAGCCCTCCCTCTGGGCCATCTGCCTTCTTTCAAGGGGTATCCGTCCAAAGGTTTCGCACAGGCAAAGCACACGAACCTGTTAACAGATCGCAACACGAAGGGATGGAGGGATGGGAAATTCTGACCAAGACAGGGGGAAGATGAACCAACAACAACAACAACAAGAAGAAGAACAAGAACAAGAACAAGAAGAAGGATTTGGATATGACCAATAAACATGGAAAAAGAAAACTTCTGGGCATATCCCAAGACTTGGTCTCGACACTCAAAGTCCACCGGAATGATCTAAAGAGGTTATCCGTTTGTGAGAGAATAGATGGAGCCTTCACTGGCATCCACGATATTGGACTTATAAACCAACTTAGCCAACTATGGGGCCCCATCCTGTACTAGAACCATCCAATTGTGTCATATTGATTCGGGCACACGCAAATCCAATGGCCTAAAACATTCTAAAACTTCATCTTCCCCATGAAATTTTGCCATAAATCGGGATAAATGTCAATTTTTCGGACAAACCCGTATCTAAATGAAACCTGGGCACGATTCTGGTCCGTGTGTCGCCGGCAAATGCATGGGACGGGCACATGCCAGTGTTCGACCACTGCGCGTCGTGGGGTGAGGTTGTGAGACTACACCATTCCCCAGCTAACCTCTGGCAATCTGAGATGGCCAGGAATATCCCCTGTTTGATGATTTAGGGAATTTTTCACCTGGCCATGTTAATGTTCGCCATCTCATTAAAAGTGCTGCACCCTGGGCTGCAATGAAAGTCATGTTGCTGGCCAGTTTTTTTAAGAATCAGCCGAACAGAATCGCTGTTCGACTGTTCAAATTGCCACCTGTCGGATACCTTTTTAGGATGTACAGCCTCAAACCCCAAAAAAAGGACGAAAAAAGACATGGAAATTTTACACTCAGAAGATGTGTCTGGTTGAATTCAGCATGACCAAGTAAGGGACCTGAGTGTATCCTGTGTCTGTGTGTGTGTGCATCTGTCTTTGTTGGACACGCAGAAGTCTTGAGCCCACATTGACCAATGTCAAATGTCAAGCACCTAACTTGATATACAGTAGGTTTGGCTGAAAATCGACTACCCCAAAATCCGCTACAGTAGTTGATCATCATGTTCCTCTTACCATCTGGTTATTTAACATAGCCATGGAAAATCACGATTTGTAAGAGGGTAATATGGTTACTTGGGTTATTTGGGTGTATACTGTAGACCGTACAGCCTATTTTCAGGCACGCCAATATTGGGAAGCGAGGCCAACGAGTCACACCAGATTTGAGTCACACATCTTCCACGTTTTGTTTAAATCAAATGGCCCTTGGACACAATATCATAATGTGGTAAAGCCAATGATAAATCCTAGAACATCATACTCCATCCACCCAATGTTTACCACTATTTGGAGGTTTCCAAAGTCGTGGCAGCCCCAAAAATCCTCCCAAAATGTGTGGATCTCCTGGGGTCACCGGCCACTCCCCCGGAAACGTCCAATCCACCGTCGATGTCGATGTCTCCGATTTCCTGGTCCAAATCTTCAAATGGAGACGGAAAATCTGTTGAAACGTGGGCAAAACAATCATAAACCACCCATGACTGGAAATGGTAACCATACCACCTATTTATTTATGGTGATGACTGGGGGATGGTTTATGGCATTGTTTACCCACATTATTGAAAAAAAGGAGCCGTCTGAAACATCTGAAACTGGCTTCAGGCTGAAAATGGACAATTTTGTTGAAACCACCCAGCAGTTCTTGGTTTTATCTCCTCTTCAAAGGCTCCTCTCCGCAGAATGGAAAGAGTTCCTTGGGCGGGTCACACCCCGTCCCGGTGCTGGAGGCAGCGATTCCTATGGTTTTACTAAGGATTTTGGGGACTCGGTGACTCAATCAGAAGGGAACCAGAAAACAGCTCTGACAGCTCACTTCGGCTCATGGGATCTGCATCAAAGTGGCTCCTTTGGTCCATTGCCCAAAGGCTGCCATGGCGGTCAAACTGCCGCACCACCGAATCTCCCCATTTGGGTTTAGGTCAATTCACCGCAGGATCCTGCTATTCATGGCCATGATCATGTTCGCCCTGCATTGGTGGTCCCACAGCTATTGGCTCATCCCTATGTATTTTCTTGACGTCTAGAGCCTCAGCAACGAAGTGACTGAGATGAATGGTCACATCATTCCCTCAGCAATTTGATATCTACAATGAGTGTGAACAAGAAGGAGGTGTATCATCGAAAATACGATGCATCAACCATTTGGGGTCAAAAAACGGTTACCCCAAAATTCAGATTCTAGTGCGGAACACGTTTAACATCAATGTTTTTGGGCCTACCATCATTTTCAGAGGGTCATGGGCCAGCAATCTTCGGTTTCAAGGGGAGTTAAAATTCTCAGGTGTCCCGTCCCCATCTACCCATGAAATCCAATGAATTTTATGGTTAATTGGGCAGAGAAAGGTTTCGGGAGATATATAATACACATGTACCGCTACTGTATTATACAACGTAGCTCTAAATACATATGATATCATACAATACCAAATAATTCATATTGCATGCATATACATATATATATATACATATGTATACATATATATACACATATATATATATACATATCTATATATATATTTGTATACATATATATATACATATATTTATATAGATATGTATATATATATATATGTATTTATATAGATATGTATATATATATATGTACATGTATATGTAAATATATATATATATATGTACATGTATATGTAAATATATATGTATGTGTGTATGTATATATATATGTATTCATACGTGTGTTTATATATGCATGTGTATATATATATGCATGTATGTATATATAAATGTGTGTATGTATATACATGTTTGTATGTAAATATTTATACCGTACGTATATGTATATGTATATGTATATGTATATGTGTATGTGTATGTGTATGTGTATATATATATGTGTGTGTATGTGTGTGTGTATGTATGTATGTATGTACGTACGTACGTACGTACGTGTGTATGTATGTATGGATGTATGTAGGCATGCATATGTATATATATATATATATGTATGTATGCTATGGTTGAGTGGTCTTCTTTTGCAAGCCCGCCGCGAAGAAACTCAAAGGGTCGAGCAAAAAATGTGTGTGTATATATATATATGTATGTATGTATACATGCTATATATATATATATGTATGTATACATGCTATATATATATGTATATATATATATAGTATTTGTTGTCCCCACTATTTGCAGCCATTCATCACCAAATTGCCCACCTTTTCCAGGCTTCCATCTCTGCCGCAGGCCGGCAAGATTCAGGGACGGCTTGCCGCGAGGATAGAAGGGGGGCCAATTCACTTTCGGATGGTTGGTTCATTTATTTAGTTACGCATTTAGTAATAACAATCATAGTAATAGTATGTAATAATAATCATCAATAATTATCACCAATGGTTCATAATTGCGTTTCCATTTCTTATTGTTAATATTAACAATCACCAGGAGTTGAGAATTGCCCATCAACAGAAAATCAATGGTTGATCAACTATAATGTGGGTAAAACAATGCCATAAACCACCCATTTGGGAATGGTGACCATACCACCTATTTATTTATGGTGATGACTGGGGGATGGTTTATGGCATTGTTTGACCCACATTATTTGTTTTCAGTTACTTATCTATTCATGTATCTATTTATTTACTTGTCCATTTATTCATTCGTTTGCTTCTGTATGTATATCTAGATATCTATTCATGCATTCATTTATTGGTTTATTGATTTATTCATCGACTTATTTATTCATGTGTTTATGTCTGTATGTATTGATTTATTTATTCATGTATGCGTTTATTCAGTTATTCATGTCTTCATTTATTCATTTTTCCCAAGAGCGTCTGAGCGAAGGGTTCTTCTAATAGCGGGGGTCTGTCAAACATTTTCACATCTTCAACTCTTCACATCTTCTCATCCTCACATCCTCACATCTTCACATCCTCACATCCCCACATCTTCTCATCTTCACATCTTCAAATCTTCACATCTTCTCATCCTCACATCCTCACATCTTCACATCCTCACATCTCCACATCTTCTCATCTTCACATCTGTTCATCTTCACATCTTCTCATCTTCACATCTTTCTTCACATCTTCTCATCTTCACATCGTCACATCCTCACATCTTCAACTCTTCACATCTTCTCATCCTCACATCCTCACATCTTCACATCCTCACATCTCCACATCTTCTCATCTTCACATCTTCAAATCTTCACATCTTCTCATCTTCACATCCTCACATCTTCACATCCTCACATCTCCACATCTTCTCATCTTCACATCTGCTCATCTTCACATCTTCTCATCTTCACATTCATCTTCACATCTTCTCATCTTCACATCTTCTCATCTTCACATCTTCTCATCTTCACATCTTCTCATCTTCTCATCTTCACATCGTCACATCCTCACATCTTCACATCTTCACATCTTCTCATCCTCACATTTTCACATCTTCTCATCTTCACATCACATCTTCACATCTTCTCATCTTCACATCTTCTCATCTTCACATCTTCACATCCTCACATCTTCACATTCTCACATCTTCACATTTTCTCTTGCCCTCTTGCTCTCTTTCCCTCTTCTCTTCTTCTTTTCTATTTCTCTCTTGAAGGCGCGGGGCAGTGCCAACGAGACGGCACGAAACGCAACCCTTTCGCACGAAAGGAGGTTCGATCGCCAAAAAGTAAAACTGCAATTTTGAAATGTCCGCGACATTCCTTTCGCACGAAATGAAGTTCGATCGCCAAAAACTGAAGTAAAATTGCGAATTTACAAACTCCGCGGTAACCCTGTGTGTAAACGTGTCTGTGTGTAAAAGTTTCTGTGTGTAAGCGTGTCTGTGTGTAAACGTTTCTGTGTGTAAACGTGTCTGTGTGTAAAAGCATCTGTGTGTAAACGTGTCTGTGTGTAAAAGTTTCTGTGTGTAAACGTGTTCGTGTGTAAAAGCTTCTGTGTGTAAACGCGTCTGTGTGTAAAAGCTTCTGTGTGTAAAAGCTTCTGTGTGTAAACGTGTCTGTGTGTAAAAGCGTCTGTGTGTAAAAGCGTCTGTGTGTAGAAGCGTCTGTGTGTAAAAGCATCTTTGTGTAAACGTGTCTGTGTGTAAAAGCATCTGTGTGTAAACGTGTCTGTGTGTAAACGTGTCTGTGTGTAAAAGCTTCTGTGTGTAAACGCGTCTGTGTGTAAAAGCTTCTGTGTGTAAACGCGTCTGTGTGTAAAAGCTTCTGTGTGTAAAAGCTTCTGTGTGTAAAAGCTTCTGTGTGTAAACGTGTCTGTGTGTAAAAGCTTCTGTGTGTAAAAGGTTCTGTGCAAAAAACTATACGAAGGATACGATGCAAACTATTGTCTTGTACTTGTAAAATATTGTCTTGATACTACTCTTCTCGTCTGCATATAGTAGATCTTTAATATATTGTCTTGTAATATAGTGTCTCAATACTAACAACAGAAGACCCTGCTCCTCTACGCTCTCGGGCCATCCGTCGTCTAGTTTTATTCATTCATTTATGTCTTTGCAGAAAAAATGACGAACAAACGCCTTCTTTTGACAGAAAAAACAAAGTTGTTCGCTGCTAAGTCTCCATGTTCGTTGCATCCTCCTTTTTTTGCTGATTAAATCCCTATGTCTCTCGGTGTTCACCCACTTTTTGCTGGTGACTTCTCAAGAGCTGTCCCTGCTTCCGCGCTAAGTTATGGAACTGCCCGGTCTGCCACCAAAATCCCAAAAAACTGGATAGCAAATGGTTTTTCGAACCAAAATATGGGGATACATTGGGGATTAATGGATGGTGATACAATCGGGAACTAGGGATATAATTTGATATAATGAATGGTGATTAACCCACAAAAATCCACAAAATAGAACTTGAATTGGGATATAATAGGAACCTTTAAATATCTAAAAACTCATTCCCCAGAACTATCCAATACCCACCCAAGCGAAAGGTGAGATGTATTGGATGTATTCATTTTGGGGGTTCATGTGGGGAGTATGTTAATATTCGATGGGATTACTTGGAGATTATTGCACGTGGAAAATCATAGAAACCCGCATTGACCGCAGTCGACCAAAGAAATCAAGGATTTGGAAGGTGCAGAAATGGCTTTCAGAAAAAAAAATGCTGTGCAAAGTCCTTGAGCCTCAGTTCATCATTTGCAGCTGACCACTGTGGGAACCATCAGGATCCGATCATTGTTGCAGAACCAGGCTGGCGCGACTGCGGAAACCGCGCAAAGAAACGTTCAGAAGCTGTACCCTCAGGCAATCTATGGCTGAGAAATCCATGAATAAAATGCTTTCCATTGGAAATTCTATGGACCATTTGTGCAAAAAGCCGTTGCCATCTTAGATTACTAGAGGGTAAGTGTTGACTCACCTGATGCAACAAAAGAGTTTTTGCTCGGCATATCACGTCCCATTGTAGGGTCCTTTTTGCCTACGTACCTAGGTAATCCTAGGTATGGGTTGAAACCACCACAAAAAAAGTATGGACGAAGATGCCAGCTGGTCTCCTCCATTCGTTCTCATCAAGACATCTCTATTGTTCTTGGCTTGCGATAAAGTCGCTGGGACAAGCAGGTCCTAGTAACCACCGGCATCAGGAGGGTCAGCACCCTGCAGAGGAAAACCCTAGCTATGCACAGAACTGGGAACTTCAGCCAGAACACCACGCTCTCATTAGTATGAAATTTCATGAAATGTCACTACCCATGGTAATAGGGAAATTTTTAAATAGGATCATCTTCAATACATAAACATATGGGCTTTCCACAAATGGGGATACCAAAATGGACTGTTTATAATGGAAAATCAATCTATAAATGGATGATTTACCCCATGACTTAGGAAACCTCCATATCATCATTTCTGCATGAAGTCCCAGCTGCTGCGTGAAACGGACGGCATTATCTCATGCACAGTTGGCACTCTCAGCAGGAAACCTGCTACAGGAAACCATGATTTGTCCTCTGAAATATGGAAGTTTCACTTCAAATGTTCCAGTATGTTCCAGTCAACCTACTCTGGGATGGGAACGCATCTCAAATGGGGCCTTGAAAGTGAAAAACGCATGAGAAGTGCCCAAGACATCCCAAGACCATTTTTCATCCCCGTCTCCTGGTCGGTTGATAGGATTTCCCACAGTGACAACAAGCTTTATCAAACCAAGCAGAACAGCATAGCTCTATAGCCCTGTATAACCATGAGCTAACAAGGGTTGTGGTCATTGCTCCACTTGGTTTCCATGAAAAGAGCATGACATAGGTGTCTCCACAAGCTGTTTTGACCAAACACTGTCGTCCAGCATGAATCTAGGCTACCTTTTTCTGAGTTTGGCGAAAGTCTTGAGGATTTCGAGTGCTCAAACAAAATGAATTCAGGAAGGATACCCTCTGGTAAACAAACATACAAAAAACTATGGAAAATCACCCTTTTTTTATAGGCAAATCAACGAACTAAATGGCCATTTTCAATAGCAAACTGTTGGTTGACCAGAGGCTAAACCGATACGTCTTGATGCAGAAAAATCTCCGATTTCCTAAAAAACACATTTCAGCAGTGTCTCCAAGGTGGCCGGGGTCAAGAAATTGGTTGCCTTCCAAAAATGAATCATGTGCTGTAATGTGGTTAAAACAATGCCATAAACCACCCATTTGGGAATGGTGAAAAAAACCACCTATGAAAATGGTGATGACTGGGGGATGGTTTATGACATTGTTTTACCCACATTATTTGAAACAAGCATCGAAATGAATCTTCCATTTTCAAGAGGGAAATCATAGAAAAACATCCTGGGGGTCGGGGTAGCCATTCTACACCCTTTCAGGTAGGCTAGGCATCATTTGATCCCCGACATGTCCCCCAAAAGGCCTTCCTCCTCCGAGATTTCACATCTGACATACTCCTGTGGAAAATCATCATGGTGGAAGCTCTTGAAGGATCCCAGAAGGGTGGATTAATGTGGATTATATGGCTAAAGTACCATGGCTTCCTCTAGAATTTCCATGAATTTCCTTAAAAAATCCCTTGCTTGAATTGTAGGACAGCAGGTGGAGAAGAGCAAGCATCCCCGGCGAATTACCATACTCCTTAGCTTGGAAAAGCGTTCCCGTAAAACAACGTCGTGCCGGCAGTGTTCGTCACGGAGAGACATGAATTTTCTGTGGATGTGTTCATCATATATTTGTATATTGACTTGATCCTCATCACAACCTACGAACAATTCCGCTAATTTGAGAAAAAGCTTTGTCCAAGAAAATGGTAAACATATATATATATCCCAAGAAGTTGCTGTGGATGGGAGTATACCCTCTGGTCAACAGTTTGCGACATTGAAAATGGCCCAGTCGAAATAGTTGATTTACATATTAATAGCACGGTGGATCTTTCCAGTTCGTTATGTTAAATTACCAGAGGGTATATCACTCCATTTGCAACTGGTTGGTGGTGCAATGTGCCCATCTTGAAAAATGATGGAGTTCGTCAATGGGAAGGATGACATCCCATATATGAAATGGAAAATGAAAAATGTTTGAAACCACCAACCAGATAATGTCAACTGGATGTTAGTTATGTTAAATTACCAGAGGGTAACCATCAGTTTTTCCATCAGATCTTGGGGGAAGCTGAGAGGCCGCACCTCGGTGCCTCGAAAATCACAGGGTCCAAGGCGGGTCGGACATCCAGGGAGCAACTCCTGGAGGGGAACTGGTCAAACAGACAGCTATTAATTAGTTGTTATATTTCAGATGAGTATTCTCTAAGATTATAGATGTTATATTCATTTTTTTAAAAAAAAATGTTGTTATTGCTGGATTTGGGTTTTAAGGTTGAAAACCATCAGTATGGATAAAACCTTGCGTACTGCGGACATCAAAGTGGCCGGGACATGGATGTTCATCCTAGAGAAATGGATTCAAAAGTATTAATATCGCAGCTCACCCTTCAATGACATCACTTGGTCACGTGCTCGAGTTTGTCAGTAGCTATTCCCAACATGAACTTTCACTACACATTAGCAACTAAGTGGGGGTAGACACCAAACATTACCTAACAAAGACCCTCTGGCAAAGGTTTATACCACTGTTTCTGAATGGTTCTGACACTCCAACCATTCAAGATGATGCTCAGTTTGTGAGGAAACCTCAACATCCAATGGTTTCACAGTTTATCATCATTGTCACCATTGAAATGGGCATAAATTGGGGGATATATCCCATTTTCAAACAGACCCGTGTCCAAACGTGTTGGAAAAAAGCAGTCGGCCATCTCGACCAAGCTTTCTCACGGCGCCTCAAGTGATTCCAACTCTGTACAGTTGTCAGGGTGGGCGCATGTTCACCAAGAGCTGAAAGGAAGTTCACTGATTGATGATCAGCATAAGACAAAGGCATGTCTATGTACACATGCATATGTGTATATATATATATATTACATAGTTTGTATCGCACAAAACGAGTCCGGAGCCATGTGTATGCATATATATACAGTATATATATATTTATTTATTTGTTTACATACATATATAATATAATATAATATAATACAATATAATATAATATAATATAAAATTGTTTTATATATTATATTATATATTATATTAT